GCTCGTCGCTGCCCCCCTCACCCAAGCTTCATTGACCACCAAAATCACAGATATGTTCAACGCCGTCTCTCACCTGGCCATTGTCTCCTAGCCGACGCTAGTTTGGCCGTCGTAACCTAACCGTCGCTCACAGAACAGGGAGCGCGGCCATTGATGACGGTGTCTGATCTTCGAGAAGCAGCGACGAAAAAGAATGAGAAGAAGAAGAGTTGTTGTGGATCGACAGGGCGGTGGCTAGAGTGCGATGGAGCGGTGAGGCGTCAGCGGTTGGAGTGCGGTGGAGTGGCAGGGCGTCAGCGGCTGAGTGCAGTGGAGCGTCGTTGGCTGGAGCGTCACCGACTGGAGTGCACTGGAGCGCCGGTGGTTGGTCTTGGATGAGAGAGACGAAGCTTAGCTTGAATCTCAAATGAAGAAGATAAGAAATGAAGAAGTTCAATCTCAAATGAAGAGCGCCGACAGGTTGCCTAGGGTTTTTAGTTTATATAGGAGTCATATTTTTGGAAAAGATAAAATGGGCCATAGTTTGGGAAATGCAAAGTCAAATAGTAATTTTCATGCCATTCTTTAGCACTTTAATGGACTTTTTGGCCAAAAAATTGAATAACTCAATCCACCTGCACTCTAACTGTCACGCCTTGGATTTCTAAATCCATTTAAAAAAACTGCCCAGGCTCCATTTTCTTCCTGCTAATCTGCAATTGATGAACCCAGCTAATCCTGTGCACGCACGTTAGGCAAAAAAATCAATTTTCTTCCTGTTAATCTTCCACTCATCGATTCAATTGATGAACTCATACTCCATAGTGTCCTAGCTTCTCCAAATCTGTAATGCTCTGCTTTACCCTCTTTGCTCTGCCCAACTAATATTACTCTCAGATTCTTCTGCATTACTTTAAACTTGGCCATCATTGGTAAAGTTTTTATTAATAGATGAATTAAACATCATAAATAGTCTGATTGAACACAAATTTTCAAGAAAGCGGCACTTTTGTTTGGTAAATTACAAGATATAACCTATGTATATATACCAGCTGTTCCCAAGTTTCAAGATTCAGCCTTGACGATAGAACCCAGCTCTTCCCTACATGCCTTAAAGAAACGTAGTTTGTTATATTTAAATTTGAGTTTTTTCCTTAAATATGACTAGATTGAAGCCAATTTATCGTTAATATTTCTCAATGATTTTTTTTTTTTAAAAGAACGAATAATTTTTTTTATCAAAATATTCCGACGACTTTTCCGACGGAGGTTTGCAGCTGCTGAGTAGGTGTCAGACTGGGAATTATGGTAGGGATTTGCACCGGCTTGTATTTCAAATCTATTAAAATGCATTGAAATCCATATGATTCCATTAAATAGGATTCCATAGAATTCCATTTGAATCTCATGGAATCTGTAGAATTCCATTAAAATCAATAGAATCTACAATCCTTTAAAATCATTTAAAATCCGTGTTGGGGGCACCCCCCTTAAAAGTTGGGAAAAGTACAGAAAAGATACTTATAGTTTGACCCGTTTTCAGATACGTGTTTCCTCTTTTAACAAAGTGAGACATGTGTTTCAATTCTGTTATCACAGCTGGGGCATGGCGTTTAGCGCTGTTAGAAAAATTAACTCCGATTTTCAAAAGTCTTAGAAAAATTAAAAGAAAAATACTGGGAGCTGCGCCTCATCAAAATGACCAACAAACTATCATTCTCTTTGGATTTTTCGGCTCTATTTGTATTTTTTTAAAAAACGAATTTACTAAAATCACTTTTCTAGTGGATTTTCTAGCGAAAGAGAGGCTGGAAACAAAAAAGAAAGATGATCTAGAGGTCTTTTTGACGAGGCGCGCCTCTTAGTATTTTTCTTTTAGTTTTTCAGAGAAATTTGAAAATCAGAGTTAATTTTTCCAACGGCGTTAGATGTCATGCTCATGTCCCAACTGCGATAATGGAATTGAAGCACATGTCCCACTTTGTTAAAAAATAAAACACGTGCACGTATTTGAAAACGGCTCAAACCACATATACCTTTTTTGCATTTTTACCAAAGCTAAAAGTTAGAATCTTCCTTTTACGTTTTCTATTACACAAAACTGCATATTTTACCAAGCACTACTAACTTTTACTCTTTAAATTCATATTTTTTTTGAACTTTGCCAATTTTTACTATTAATCACTTTAAAAATTGCTTTTATTGAAACAAAAGCATTTACAAACCCTTCCTGATTCGAGGAGGTGAACAAAATTGATTTTGTAAAGAATGCCCTCGATAAACCCTTAGAGCATCTCCAATGCTATAATGTGCACAGTGCACATGTGGCATGAGAGAGATAGACACAAAATATTGATTTTATAACATTTCTCTCTCCTTCTTTCCACGGCCTTATGTGTTTTTGGTAAGTTTTTCTCTGCAATGTCAACCACATTGTCTACATCTAGACATTGTGTTTGACATTGTGAAGAAAAACTTACCAAAATGATGTAATATCCTTCAAATAAGGAGAGAGATATTCTATTTATTGTTTTTTAATTGGTTATTTCTCATGCCACATATGCACCGTTAACGTTTTAGCATTGAAGATGCTCTTAGCGCCGACCGTAGACGAGGCTCATTCCTCTCTTCATCCGGTCTCTTCCAGTTATCTTTCTCTTCTGCGATGTTGCCCCCGCTTTACTCTCAGCCTCGCCGATCTTCTCAAGTCAACTCGAAGGGACTCAACGGTTCGGCTACTCCACATGTTATGGGTAGTGATCCAGGTATGCAAATGCAGCCTCCAAATACCCACCCGTCTGTTCCCCGTTTCCCATTTCAAGCTCCCCAAAACCCTAGCAATAATGGTTGCGTTCCTCAAATCCCTGGACAATTTTTTGCACCTAATATTTTTGCAGTCCCTACACACATGAATGCTAATAATGCTATGATGCCGAACAAACCGTGGTTTCGCCCAATCGGTGACACCCGCACACGGGCAGCCAACGAGCGCACACCACGTGGAAGCCCCCCAACGACTATATTTTGACGTTAGGTATTCCAACGGATATATTTCCAACGGCTATATTCTGAGAGCTCCCGGCTACACTTAAGCAGACCACTCATTCATCAATCAAGAAACTAGCCCCCGGCCTTTTTACTTCACTCCACTTCATCAAGAAGAGCCCCCGGGTACGCTTACCCAGAGACGTTCCCGGTTTGTGCCCCTCACACCACATAACAAATGCCTTCGGGTCCACCCCCTCAGAAGCCCGCGGCTTCATAACAGGCACACCTCTCGGGGATCCCTCTCAGCGCTTTGAGGGCCGGGTAGCCCCCGGGGAGTATGCCTCATTGACAGATAGCCTACGGCACACAGGTAACGGGAGCCCTCGGATACACTTCTCACCAACTAATCAACAAACAGGGGACACCCCGGTAACACTTCAACTACTACTCACATTCATCACGCCCTCGATCCCCAGATTGAGGGACTCCCCTTCGGCACCTCCCAGGATATCAACAGCACGCCTCCGGTTAATCAACACATGCGCCCTCAGCATTGTACTCCATTTCGAACCAGGGCTTCACGTTTTCGATTCATCATTGGGGGAATTCAGTGCACTCTTTTTCCCTCATTAGGATTTTTTCCCACAGAGTTTTTCCTAATGAGGTTTTTAACGAGGCATCCCCCCAAAATGAAACGAAAAGCGTCAGCCTTCGGCCCAAAACAGCAACATGATTACTCTACTCCTTTTCACCACTTTGCAAGTGCCTCAAGGAGTGGGGGACTGGAGAACCCCCTCGGGAAAAATCACAAAAATCACAAACATGACCCCTCAAGTTCCGACATGTGGGTAACTGAGGGACTGCCCTCGGCAGAATAAACAAACAGCAAACTACCCACAACTGAACAACGGCAGAGGACAAACACAATTACTCCTCTTCCCTCAAGTACCTTTCGGCAAAAGGAGTGGGGGACTCCTGATGGAGTATATGGCCCGGGAACCCCCGGTCCACAGACTCCTACTACTCCAATAAAGGCCCAATAGGCCCAGGAAGCACAACAAGCCCAAATCACAGCGCCCAAGGTACCAAGCAGTCCACAATGTGCACCAGGGGTGACTTCGGCCCCCTGGCCGAAGGCTCTAAACCTCACAGAAGGGCCAGAACAGGAAAACAAAGTTACTGGGAAAAACGGTGAAAATCAGTAGCCCTCGGCACCTAGAGCCCTCGGCACTAAGGAGGTCCCCAGTACTCAGAGCCCTCGGCTAGTCCCCTACAGCCGAGGGCACCTTTTCCGACATAATATCCGCTCCACATGTGTATGGATCACCGTACCCGGTACGACGTCCCATCCAACAGTCACATTAAGTGCGGTCACATGCGATTGCCAGTGCCAACCAGTTGAGGTGACCTCTCGGTCAATGAACGTTTGACACATGTCCATGTCTGGCATTTATTACTACTATAAATAGCACCCCATTTCCCCACTTGTAACCAAGACACAAGAAGCAAATACGCTGAATACATTTTCTAATATACTCTCTCTCTCTCTACTTACTTGCTCTGACTTCTCTCTAGTTATTCCCCATAATAATCCCTCGGATAAGCTACCCCTCGGGTACACTATCCATCACTCCTGTGATGTCTCTTCTAACCGAGGGCTCCTACCTGCCGAGGGCTGCAGTTGCCGAAGGCTTGGTTTTCAAGTCTTGTTCTCCTGTGATGTTTCTGAGCTCGATTCTGTCACTGGTAGCCTTCGGCCATGAGGCCGAAGGCACCCCTTTGCGTATTGGGGGCTGCTTAGAGCTCCATTTTGCTGGGCTTGGTCCGTTTGGGCCTGTTGGGCCTGATTGTAGTAGAGGAAGTATGTGGGCCGGGGATCCTTGGGCCATATACTCCATCAATATTTTTTTTGAACAGTGCCAATTTTTACTATTAACCACTTTAAAAATTGCTTTTATTAAAACAAAAGCATTTACAAACAATTCCTAATTCGAGTAGGAGTAGGTGAACAAAATTGATTTTGTAAAGAATGCCCTCGATAAACCCTTAGCGCTGACAGTAGACGAGGCTCATTCCTCTCTTCATCCGGTCTCTTCCAGTTATCTTTCTTTCTCTTCTGCGATGTTGCCCCCGCTTTACTCCTCTCAGCCTCGCCGATCTTCTCAAGTCAACTCGAAGGGACTCAACGGTTCGGCTACTCCACATGTTATGGGTAGTGATCCAGGTATGCAAATGCAGCCTCCAAATACCCACCCGTCTGTTCCCCGTTTCCCATTTCAAGCTCCCCAAAACCCTAGCAATAATGGTTGCGTTCCTCAAATCCCTGGACAATTTTTTGCACCTAATAATTTTGCAGTCCCTACACACATGAATGCTAATGCTATGATGCCGAACAACCAGTGGAGTTCGCCTAATAATTCTCTCATCCAGATCGTGAATCAGTTATTGCAAGTGCAAATGCAACTACAGAACCCAAATTTTTCTCAGATTGGCCCGTCTTCCCTTCCATTTTATGCGAACAGCCAAGCTCCTCACAACGGTGATCTTCAAGATCCCAACTTTGGTATGAATGCACAGTTGCTCCTTGGCAACTTTGGTATGAATTTGTTGGAGCAACCACAACAAGGGAATATACCTTCTACGGCGCATCCTCATTTAAATCAGAGCAGCTCAAACCCTTCTGATGCTGCTACATCACAGGGAGGTCAGGGACATGCAACCAGAATCAACTCAAAAGGGCCCCGGAAGAGTTCTTTTAACTACAACTTCAATACAAGTCAGGGGGGAAATGAAGCAACACACTCTGAATTTGGGAAGCCCACCACACAATCATCTCAAAATGCTAAAAAGAACTTCAGCATTCATAATAATTGTCAAGTAAAAGAAGCTCTCATGGATAGGAGCTCTCCTTTCATGGACATGATGAAGGCGCCCGCGAAGGCCAAAGAGGATGCAGCTAAGGCCGTGGAGCCCAAGAAATCTGCTGTTGAAAAGGTGCAGAAGAATGCGTCTGATGCCGAGAAGAGATCCAAGAGGCCGCCCTTGGATCTCTTCTCGGCATCCAAGGCTAAGCGGCCAAAGGGAGCTGAGAGCCAAAAAACTCTCCAGGAGGTCCGGCCTGGCTGTGAAGAAGGCCTCTACCCCCAGGGATGTTAAGGTGCAAGCTACTTCTGATGCGGATGTGATTGATGTGGAGCACCTGGCTCCGGGAGGTGTCCAGACCCAACCCTCTCCTCTGCAGATGGCGCGGCATGATGCCCACTCCCAGGGTACTTCTGGTGAGCCTTTCGCCGGGGAGCCCTTGGACCGAGATTCCTTTAGTTTCCCGGCTGGCAGGTGGAGCGTGATCCGGGGAACCCTTCATGGGCATGAGCTCCTCAGACGTGTTCTTCCCCCGGCTGATCAGGAAGCGTTGATGGAGTTCAACGACGAGGCCCTTTACTATAACGGCATGCACGACATGCAACGGGGGGCCATCTGTTTACTGGAGTATGGCCGGCGGATGCGGTCATGAGCCAGGTGCTTCGAGAACGCTCACCGATATCTTCGGGAGCGGAATCAGGCCTTGGTGAGCCTTGAGAAGGTGAGGGCTGAGATGGCCTCGCAGGTTTTACGCGCAGAGGAAGCCGAGAAGGCCATGACCGCAGCTGTGGAGGCCCACCAGAAGAGTGTTGTGGCTTTGGCGCTGATGGCGAAAGCCAAGGAAAAGGTTGAGACTGCCGCCGCCGCCGCCGAGAGCTCCAAGGCTGAGGTTCTTAATAAAGGCGAAGCCGAGGCTCACGACATTCTTCCCCGTTTCCTGGAGTCGGGCTGGAAGGCCAAGGAGCACAGGAAGTGGCTGCTCGAGGCGGTTGGTGCTTGCCATGATGAGTGGTTGAAGACTCCCGCCGGTCAGGATTTCCTGGTCCATGAAGGTGATAAGTTCTATGCCTCCGGGGAGCAGCATATGCGGATGCTTGAGTACCGCCGGCTGGAAAGAAAGATTGCTAAGCTCAAGCCTTCGGCATATGGCCTCCCTCCGTTGATGAACGATCCAAACGAGGAGGCGAAGTTGCCCCTCGCAGAGAGGCAGGATCCTATTCTGTATTCCGACGAGGAGACGGAGATGCTCGGCTGATGCGGCTAAAGATTTTGAGTATTGTGCCATGTTCGATGCTCTGGAGTCTGATCTGTGGAAGGATTCGCAGTGATGTAGAGAATAGTTTGCCTTTCTTTTTCCTTTTGTTGTAAACTTGTAATGGCCGAAGTGCCCACTATGTGACTTCGTCTTTCATTTAAATAAATAGATTGGGCCTTCTTTGCAACAAAAAAAAGAGAGAAAAAAAAAACAAAAAAAACTCCCTAATTAGGTTGGATCGGATCGAACACGGATTGTACCGTCCTGGTTTAATGGTAAGCTATGAGAGCAGAACCGTTTTACAATTCTTGAGATATTCTACATTTCATAAAGAATATCCTAAAAATTTCATAAACTGAAATTTAATGAAATTGGGCCAACGGTGACTCCCGCTAGACCAGACTGATATGAATTGCCCTCCCCTTATTTATACAATTATACTACACAACTATTCAACAAAAATTTTAGTGAGCACACTACGTGCTCTTTATTCGGACGAAATGTAACTCGCATCTAAAGAAATGCATAAGAAATGTAACTGCAAGCAAGTCAAAATGTAACTTGTCTAATGCGGATTATAAGAAATAGGCTAAAGAGTCAAATAGGTACATGAACTAACTTAAAGTGTTCAATTAACCCCTTATATAGGAGATTCTGCTCGGCCATCTCCAATTGGGGCGGTTCCCGGTGGGATTTTTTGATGAATTTTTTTAAGAACCTTCTTCATTAAGTCTAGTTTACCCATACCAAATTTCAGCTAAAAATTCAATCGGGAAGACAGTCAAAAGATATTTTGAAGATAACTGCGCAGTTAAACAGCGCAGTACATTTCGGAAAATCATTTGACTGCCTTCCCGATTGAATTGTTAGCTGAAACTTGATATGGGTAAACTAGACTTAATGAAAAAGATGCTCAAAAAAATTCATCAAAAAATTCCATCGGGAACCGCCCCAATTGGCGACGGTCGGACAGAACCTCCTAAATAAGGGGCTAATTGAACACTTTAAGTTAGTTCATGTACCTATTTGACCCTTTAGCCTAAGAAATAAAACATTGATTTCAATGAAAACAAGGAGTCCAATTGCTCAATTACTTTATGTAAATAGTGAATAATTTTTTTTAATAGTAAGGCCATAAATAATGTTTTTTTCTACTTAATATCATTTTTGTAAAAAAAAAACTCATATATTTCGCCAAAAACATTTTTTTGCAAAAAAGTATTTTTGTTTCAATAGTAGGGAATTACATTAAATAGTGAATATGTTCTTTTTTAATATTAAGGCCATAAAAATATTTTTAAAAAAAAAATCACTCTTGATGGGATATTAAAGTCCAGCCCAATACAGCGACCCAAAATATCCCTGAAGCCCAGACGCAAAAAAAGGTCCAGGGAAAATCATCGGGCTCGAATGGCAAGCCCCGTTCGGCACGTCCCGAACGGGGTAAAATTAGCACTTGGGTAATTAGTTTATTCCCTGATTGATGACTTAGCGGGGCTTAATCACGAATGAGAGTTACTCAAGTGACCGACTGTAGTTAATGCTGGATCATGGAGGTCTCAAGTGGCATGAGAGTCAACCAAAAATATTAGAGCACCCATACCCCCACATACCTCCATCTAGTATAAATAGCAGGATTTAATTCATTGTAAGTGTTAGCATTTATTTACTCACAAGCTTATATTGCATTCTAGCTCTTGTATTAGCCTTTGGACCGTAACTACCGTTCGGCCATTTCCGTGTAATCACTATTACTGCGTGATGGTACCATGGACTCCAACCATGGCCCAATTACGTAGTCCAGAACGAGAAGTCGCCTAAGTAACAGGAACAGTCCATAAACGGGATCGAGCCCTGAACATGGTTCATATTGAATAAGCCGCTACGTCCAAATGGGAATCAGGCCCACGATAGGAACCCACAGCCGGGCCGGACTAGATGGCAGACCTCGAGCCTGGGCGGAGTGTGACACTTCAAAAAAAAAAATTAAAAAAAATAAAAATAAAAATAAAAATAATTTTCAGTCAGATAAAATATTACGAAAATAACAATTTTATAATTAATTGAGTCAGACAAAAATTCAACAGTGGTAACGTGCCAATCAGATAAAAATTTCAAAATTTATGATGTTTTAGTCAGATAAAAATATTTCAGTAATAAGAACAGCATTTTAGTAAACAAGTGAACCAGACAGAAAAATTTACATTTACGACATTTTTAGTCTGATAAAAATGGTCCGATAATAGTTGTAACGTATAAAAATAATTTTTATAACTTTTTTAAGTTGTAAAATAATACGGAGGGACTGTACACTAATACGTACGTATAATTTTTATACGTATAAATTATTAGCAAACAATATAAAAATTAAGTGTTTTAAATAAACTAAACTAACTAAGTACGTATAAAATATATATACTTCTAATATATATATAACTACATACGTATTATACTAAAGTAACTAAACTACCAAAAGTTAGTATTATACGTATTATATATAACTAATTAGTATTATAATTAAACTAAAAACTACCTAGATACGTAGTAGTATATAACTAGTTAACTACACGTATTACTAATTATACTCAAATACTAACCTACGTATAAGGAGTATACTCCTACTATTATACTATTATATTACTACTACTACTACGTAAATATTATTAGGTAAACTCCTACGGGAAGTAAAACTACTCCCGGTAGGTTTTGTTGGCCGACAGCTTCAACTCCAACTCCAACTCTAACATCCCAGCCTAAAACCCTCATCTTTCCCTATAAATAATAGGCCAGAACCTGCATTTTCTTCATCCCCAAAAACTAAGAAATATACAAATATACGTATATATATATATTTTTGCGACCCAGCGTTTTAGCCAGAAACAAGCCTTCAAAATACTTCTCAAACCTTCCCCTTCGTGATACGAATCCAACGGAAAAAGAATCGTCGAAAACGGTCGTGAAACGAGGGAGAAAAGCCTCGACGGAGTTTCGCCGGGGAAAAACATTTCGACGGAAAACGGAGAAGAGGGAGGAGCTGCCGCCGCCGCCGTACCACCTCTGACCTTCGCCGCCCTGCTACCACCATTTTCGGCCGTTTCGCTCGTCCAAACGAAGTAAGTTCTCCCCCCCCCCCCTATTTTTCCCGTTTTTCCGGCGAGGTAGCGAGGAAGAAGACTGCCAGAGTTTTTGGGCCTTTTTCCGGATTGGGCCAGAAAATAAAATTTGGCCCAGTTCGGCCCAGTTGCAATAAAAATTAAAAATAAAATAGTAAATGAAATAAATAAAATCTGGAAAAATATAAATTAAATACCTAGTATAAATATACATATTCGGACCAACCTGAATTGGAAAATAATATTTTTAGCTATTTTTAATTGATTTAATGGTAATTGGGCCAATTTATACACTTTTAGTAAATAATTAACTAAATGACGAAAATAATTATGAAATAAATATTGGAGTAAACTAGGATAAATATATGACTAACTAGGACCTTATGGACCATTTATAATTAATAAAAATAAGGTTTAGTATATTTAATTGTAATTAAACCGATTAATAGATATATGAAATTAAGGGAATAATTATGGAAAATAATTATAAAATAGATATCTGGACAACCTAGGTCAAATATAGACCCAAAATATAGTTATAGACGGTTACTAATTTATAAAGTCGATTCTTAGTCTATTTATTTAAATTAGGCCATATAAGACTAGTTAAGTAATTAAATAAGGAAATATTAATATTAATGACGAAATAAATAAATCAGTGAGGTTGAAAAATAATATTCTGGACTAAAAATAATGTTTGAATAAAATAAGGAAAATAAATATATTCGGTTATGTAAATAAAGTAATTAGATAATAATTAGAGAAAATTAATGGTGATTATTGAATAAAAATTGGATGTTGTAGTCAATAATATTCGGATATTTTATTTAGGTTTAGAATTCAAATATTGTAATTAATGACGAAATTAATAAGGTATTTGATTAATAAAAGTGATTAACTCGAATAATTAATTAATTAAATTAATAAATTCGAATAAAAGAATAAAAAGGAGGAAAATCGGGTAAAGTAATTACAAATAGAATAAGTGACTAATTTATCATATTTAATTAAAAAGGTGATTATCTAGAGACCGGATTAGAGGAGGATAACTAGGGGCATCAGGACGTAAGGTAAGTTTCTCTGCCAATCCAAAATTGTTTCCTCGTATTATATGCTTATTATGAATTATGTGATTAAGTGTGATTTGTGAATTTTGTGTATGTGATTTTGAGAAGATATTATATATATGGTAGTTAAGAAGTATAAATCAAGTACTTTTGGGGTATTAAATATTTTTTTAAAAATACATTCGAGACTTTTCAGAGAAATTAAGAAGTATAAATCAAGTACTTTTGGGGTATTAAATATTTTTAAATACCTTCGAGACTTTTCAGAGAAATTAAGAAGTATTTTTGAAGTATTATTAAGCGAAGATAAAATTTACATTTTCATAAGAAGATAGCATCTCGGGAGTAATCCGAGGTGTCGGTTTTTCCACATCCGGATAAATGTGGAGGGTGATTAGAGCTACTACTACTAAGAAGTACAGTTTGGATCTATGATCCCTTTTAAGTAAGATTTGGATCTATGATCCCTTTTAAGTGAGATTTGGATCTATGATCCCTTTTAAGAAGAAGTTATAGTAGTAGTCCCTAATCATTCAAGAATTTTAGAATTGGGGTGGTTGGGTTCCGACCACTCGGGATGACTTACTACTCGGAGGGCTTGGAATCCCTTTCAGGGGGTGTGCACACTTAAGGTAGTCGTTTCGTTTCCAACAGAGCAGTTGTGGTACCGGCACTTGTTCGGGGTGGCCGTCCGTAACCACGGTCCACCGGGCTCTATCGAAAGGTTGAGCACCACCCTTCTAAATTACTAGGAAGTTAGAGAAGAAGTGATTTTCTTAAGAAGTTTAAAGAGAAGAGATACTAAGAGATTTTCGAAGAGAAGTTTAAGATTTTAGTAAAGAAGTAATTTTGAGAAAAATCAAAGAGAAAAGTATTTTGGAAGAGTGCGTCATTTTTATATGATATTATATAAAAATCTATTTTTAGTCAAACCTGATTATTTTACGGGGTTGGGTAGTACTTACTTAGCTCTAAAGCTAATTTTTGTTATTTTTCTTGTCTCTCTCTTCTC